CGGATCACTAGCTTTGCTTATTTTAAGTATTTCATTCTACAATTTCAGTCCTTTTAAAATTATTGCTGACTTCCCATATCTGGAAAGAAACTAATATTAAAACATCCATCACATTCTTTGCTTTCTTTGTGCATTTTTAAATTTAGCTATTAAACTTTTATAAGAACATGGTCTCTCATGATTGCTACGGCTCCTTCCTATGATTACTCCTAACATGCTTGACAACCACGCTTTTGCTCTTGCAGAAATGGTGTGTGCCTTCTCTCATGATTTGAGAGCACAGCCCATAGCCTGCGTTTCTGCATGTTACGCTAGTTTTCCTCTATATTCGTGTTGTTTTTCAGTGTATGATAGTTTTTGTTGTTGTTGTTGATGTTTTTAATGAAATGACCTTATTGATAATTATTATTATTATTACTACACAAACATGTATTAGGTCTGCAGTTTCTTCTTTTTTTTTATTCATACCTGGAACATTTCATCTAAATAGAAATTCATGGAAACCCCCATTCATTTCAGTTGAGATCTACCACAGAACTCCTGGTAAAAAGAAAAAAACAAGGTCTCTATGTTCATATATGTATGTGGCTCTACCTGCCACAGCTGGCAGGCTGTTATTGCTTGTATAGTATTCTGCCCGGATCCCAGGACAGAATGCTATGTGATATGCTCCAAATTTTTCTCTTCAATATCAACACAGTATTGATGGGTTTTTCAGTTACAAAAGTTAAAAAATTGTAACAGCTACAATGCCTGTTCATTTTATCTACTGTTCATCGCTATACTATGAGATTCTTCAATGTTCATGAAACAAAGCCTTTTCTCTCCCTCTGAATTCATTTTAGATTAAGCCATTAGATCTCACAGCTGCAGTTTAATGTAGGATTTTAGGTCATCTCAGAACTTACCCTTTCCCAAGAACAGTTTTAATCTTTGTATAGTACTTGAATATACTTCTTATAATTATGTTTCAAGTGTTATTGCAGCTATATTTCAGATTTTACGTATGTAAGAAAATGCTATATTATTTTAATACTGACGGTAGAATAAAAATCTATTCAAAATTCACCTTTCAGGAAGCACAGTCAAATATCCAAGAACACTATTAGACTTGCTCAGCATAAAGTTTCAAACTGCTAATGGGTTTTAAATTGATGTCATAATGCCGCAATTTAAATACATGGTGTTCATTAATTTTGCTAGAACTCTTTGTAGAGTAGGAGCAGTATGGAAGAGAGAGGAAGGTTATATTTTCTATACTTGCTTCTTTTTATCTGCTTGCCCATTCTTGATACACAAGAAGTATCATCACATCAGCTTGGAGTGGGGGCGTGAAGTTTACTCAAAGTACAATAGGCTTCAATTAGGTATCCACTCTGGAGTTGTATCAAAATTAAATTTTATATGAAAAAATACCAGGAATAACATAAAAGTAACCAGCACCATAGACATGGCGTTTCTTAAAAGATGGATTTCATCATTTCAGGACCTATCACCAAAATCCACAGGTTCAAGGGAGAGGAATTAAGAGACAGAAAAGATAGTAAAGGTCATCTCAGCCATACACCTCCTTTCCACTGTAAGGTCAAAATTCCTGCACTTAGGTGAGAGAGCGCTACTGCAAATCAGGCATCCAGCATCTCTCTCAAATCTGAAAGTGTCCTCCCAGATGTGGGCATTGAAAAGGGAGAAATCTCCCTGTGGAGGACTAAGGGATCCTCTTGTCTTGTGGGGAAGGGAAGGGATGGGATGCAAGTATTCTAGGTGAGGAATCATCTCTTTCCGAAATATCTCAAAAGTCAAATTAAAATGTGTCTAGACATAATGGGCCAGTATAGTACAACACTTCACATCTATTTATACTTCAAATATAGTATGTTTACTGTACATAAAGTCAGTTTTTCTAAAGCTGTTGCTATAGCTACAAATCAAGGAAACCATAGCAACAACACAGTATTATGCACAGCCCTAATTAGGGATTAAGTTATGTCTCTCTTCGCAGTTTATATTAAATACTCCCATATAATCTAGTTAGAGTAATCTTAAAATGTTTTCAGACTTTTTTAATAATAAGAATTCCATACAATTATACTGTCAAGTCAAATACACAACATACTCAAAATGTGCCTTTAAAGCATTTTTTCGATCATACCTAATAATATACATGTCACTGGTTTTTACTTAAGTACAAATGTTCATATCACCATATTTTCTGACCTTCTTTAATACAAATCATTGATCACTTTAGCCCTAACCACTGAAGTCATTGATTTTCCGTCACCTCATAAGGTTTCCAGCTCTTATCCCATCCAGCCTTACCCAAAATAAATTAACTCCTCCTAACTCCAACTTTTTTTCCCCCCCATGGATTAAAGGTGGATGCTTTTTCTTCCCTTTTCCCTTTTTCCTTGGAGAATAAGTACTGGAGGGAGGAATGGGAAATGAATATTAGATGACTGACTGGGCTGGTGCTAAAGTACATTCATTACCCTGTTTTGCTGACCTTGCATATGTGTTATTTTAGTATACAGAGAAGCTGGCAAATAACATGCAGCCAGGCACACTGCTGGAGGAGTGGAGCCTGAGAGGTAAAGGAGAACAGAGAGTGGTGAAGAAAGAAGAAGGATGCTGGACGTAGCTGAGGAACAGGAGGCAGCATTATCAAACAGCAGGAGACATGTAGGGCCCAGTGGGGTGACAGGCTTCAAAAGACACCCTAGAAGACTATGAACATATTCAGTGGGTGTGCACAGATTCTCTCAACAAAAGAGAAAACCATAATTCATGTCTTTAAAAGCCTTCTCTCCTATCTTCCCTTCTACCACATACATTTCTAATAATTCATTAGGGTATAGTTTCCCCACCTTTTGGTCCTTGCTCACTGATGAGATGGTAGCAGTCCCTTTTTGTAAAAGCCTCGGCTACATTTGTTTGGGGCATTAGCTGCCCTCACAGCCTGGAGCTTCTGCTTATCTCACATACTATGGCAGCATAAAAACACTAGGCAAGGATATCTGAATCCTATGAAATGAGCAGAAATTTAATGTGTTTGGCACTTACACTTACCGAAATGATAGAACTGTGGCTTTAATCTCTGAACAACTGAGAAATGCTGGCCATTTTAATACAAATAGCACACCAGTGCTTATTTCCACGCTTTTATAAAGCAATCTGTTATATAGATTGTAGTCACAGAGAACATCTGAGTGCAGGTTAGGAACATGAGCTGCGTAAAAGCTTTTCACATGGGCAGCACAATAAAACTTCTCTCGCACTGGGAATAATTAAGTCAGAAGATAGTGCATTCACAATTAGCAGGGCATGTTCAGTTTCTTCATTATCATTTTAATTAGCAAATATTAATGTAATCTACAAGTACAAGGGGGAAAACAACTAAAATTACTAAGTTTAAGGAGTCCTTCATGACCTAAGCTAAATTGAGACAAATGTCTTACTAATCAGTACTGGACACCAACTTTCAGGACATTCATTTCCATTTACTGTTAGAACTTCCAAGCGTGTTATCAAATTTAAGAATGAATTAAGGCTCCCACAGGCTACATCTAACCTCTGATGAAGGCAATGGTTAATAAAAATGGATTAGATGCTCTTCTCCTCTTCAGTTATCAGTTCAGACTGATAGTGATCAAGTGACTGTGGCAGCTCTGCCTCATTCAGATTCCACGCCTGTGGCTGTAGCAATCACGTAACCCAGTGACACACAGAACACGCTGCCCTCTCATTTTTAGTGGGTTCCTGGTCCTTTTATATTTAAGATATGCTGGACGAAGCCTTAGCCTCTTTGAACTCAATAGCAGAGCTCTCATTCATTTCACTGGGACTCAGATTCACCCTGACTCAAACAGATTTCCTTTCTGGTGCTTGTCCTTTTTCTGCCCTGCAGATGAAGTATTTTGGCCTCCAATATAATCAATGATGCATCTTACATGAACAACAATTAAAAGATAAAGAGGTTTAAAAGAAGCTACCTCCTAAAGACTTCAGTCCTTTCTCATACGGATTTTCATTTTTAACACTCTAGCAGTAAAATAATAAATAACTTGTCCAATGCTCTTGTAGGACTGAATATCATGAGGTGGTAAACTATTTTCATTCTCTATAAAAACTGTTACTTGAATAAATCCGATTCATAAATATAATAATTACAATTTTATAAATAAAAATTAGTAGTAAATGGAACCCAAAGTATTTCTCACGATTGACAATGCTATAACTAATCAGAAAGAGCTTTTAGAAAGTTGTTGGGTTTTTTTATGTTAGCAAATTTATTTTCCAAGTTTGCATCTGTTATTAATAGTACACACAAAGACAGAAAGGGGAAGATTTTGCAGAAAAAGCACCACTGCCACTGAAAATCAACATTGTCATTAGACATTTTGCCAACTGAGATAGTTTAAAGCTGAAGTCCTTGTAAAATATTCTTTTATCAAACCCCAAAGAAAGTATTTTGCAAGGGAGCTAGAGGCCAAAGCATTTTTAAAATATGGACAAAATACCCAGTTTCAGAAAAATCCTTTAAATCTCCAGCTCTATATCTTTGCTAAACTTACAAACATTCATAATACAAATCATTCTCTTTTTCTTCTATGCACATAGAAATACAGATAAACTACCTCTTGCTTTGGTATCCTAGGCAAAATTAAGTCCTAAGACTTCTATTACAAACATACACAAGACAACTTCTTGTGTATAGTCTGAAGGTTGGAATTCATTTGGAAAATTCTCTTGCTTGTGTAAAATTCAGTTGTCACTGTAACCAAGACTTATTTTGAGGGCAACTCGCTTTTCTATCCACTGCAACCAGTACAAAAATGAAAATAATTAAGTGGTCGTTTAAGTGGTAGCACACTTTTAAAAGACACTTTGCTCAGACACACTCCTTTCTTAAGGTTTTACGCTGGGAAACAGAAAACAAGTTATGTGGGATCAGAGAGAGTTTTACTGGTCTATTTTGCAGCACTTTTGATATGAGGCCTTACCTCTTGTGTCTTCACGTTTACATATCCATAGTGAGTTCTCAGAGGCTGCCTTTGGCCGTTAGAAAATGATATCCACTTGACACTGGTTTGTCCAAAGCAGTTTAGAATCAAAGGGAAAGTTACTTCATTGGTGAGACGAACGATGATCAGACAGAGGAATGCTGCAATGAAACTCACAGCAACAACAGACTTTCTCTGTAATACAAAGAAGAAAGAAAAATAAGTATTAAAAAGAAAAAAGTATTAAAATGAATAGTTAATGTTAATTTAAAAATGTATCTCCTATTGTAGGATGAGAGAAAAATGGTTTAGAAAACTATTGTAAGATTATTTTGTATGGTAGTCACCTTGCTGCAAGAACAAAAGAAGACCGGTGTACTGGATCATTTTGCTTCAATAAATGTGTATTTTAGGGACTGAGACTTTCTTTTAGAACAGGTAGGAAGTAAATTGACTTTGCTCAAAAACTATCATTGTTTTATTTCTTACAATGTTTCAAAACACATCTACCAGTTTTAAATTTTATTTGTATTTGTAATTAAGATTTTTTTCTGTAAACATTCACAGCAAAGCCTCTATGCACAATCATCAGTGCTGTGGGCACAAACAAATATACAAAGTGCAAATGCCATTTGCAGCCACACCAAAGTCTACTGTGAAGACAAAGGTCACTGCTGATTTTCTTTATTGTGTGCTATTTTTAAATCATCTCTGTGCAATAGAACTCACACTCTAATCTTAAATATTTTAGAATGGCTGGTGAAGTCGACACAACCTGCTGCCTTATTCCAGGTTCACAAATTTACAAAGGCATTAGTATCTTGGACAAGATGACCTCTGCTGTTAATAATGTACCAGATCTGCAGCCTGTATCTAATTAACCTTTGCTTTCCACCTCTGACCTAGCTAGTTGGCTGGACCGGTTAATACAACCACAAAAAGATACCAACCTTTTCCCTGGGTAACTCCTCAGTCTACAGGAGAAAAACTAAAAGAAGCTAAAAGAGAGGGGAACATCTATCTTTAAAATATTGCAGTCAACTACTTCTGGACAAACTACTTATGAACAAAAAGGGTTAGCTGGCATATGTAATGCTTTGTGGTATGATACTCAATTGTAAAGGTGATTTTTTTACAATCTCCCTGACAGAATGCAGCAATGATCATTTCCAGGTGTTTTCTACAGTACTTCAATAACATTCTAGCTTTACGAATTTGCTACAGTTCAGTCATCCTAGTGAGTTTAATTCTATCGCTCTAAACAATAACAAAGAGACTTATTTATTTATTTTAAACCTAAAAGTCTACCTAAGTGTAACCCTCAGTGCTGGATGGCAAAATCTGATCCTCATAATTCCTGTCTACAAACACCACCAATCAGTGGGAGCCAGCACTTTACATGTTTGACTGTTTTTGCACATGAAGGCCATGAGATCACAGGTGCTGCAATACTGGTGGAGGGATGAAAGCTGAGCTCTGACACCCACCATATAAAAGAAATGAATTTCTTCTTTGGAGGTTCATTTGAAGATACTCAAATTCAAAACATCAAGCAGAAAAAACAATGATATTTACACAGCAAGCATCCAGTGAAACACGTAAAGTTGTACTGAACGTGACACAGGAGGCTCACGTGCTCCTGCACAGAGCCTGCAGGCACCGCTGCCGTGCTTTGGGTCAGTGTCTGGCCACCAAAAACTGTGAGGATCACAAAGAGCACACAGAAAATTTGCAGGGATATTACTGTATCAGCACTTAAAGAGCTGAGAAAATAGTGCCTTGCGGCAGGGTTTGGATGGCACAATTGCATGGCTTTATCTGTTTCAAGGTATTTGGAGGCTGCAATTAATAAGAAAGAAGAAACAAAAGACCGAGATGGGAGAGCTGGGTGAATGAGGTCACTGAGGAGAAAGGGGAGAGGATGATGAAGAGAAGTGTTCTGGCAACATGATTCAGCGACGAATCTCAGTCAACTAATGGCTGTGTAATGCTAAATTAAACCCAGCAAATCTTCAGAGGACAGTGTAACAGCCACAACCCCATCACAGCTCTCAGCATCTATGGAAGGCACTGCACTTTTCATCAGCTGCATTATAACAGATTTACATTAAATTGCAATAAACTGGCTGGGGAGCACTTCTGTGTCACTTCTCTTTGTGCCAGATGGAAATAGAAATGTTTAGCTATATATCAGGGCCTTGTAAGTGTTAAGAGCAGCCAAGATGTGCAGCACAAGTGATAATCGTAAAGCAGTGAAAAAGAGCATAGATTAGTCATATTATTTATTGCAAATCTCAATTAAAGATTGCAAATATTTAAAGGGGAATCTAGCTACTCATTCCACTACATGGGCATGCGTCAATCAAAATGTCCATGACAGGAAAAAGAGACCCTGCTCTATGTGAGGCCACTATCTGATTTCCACATACATGTACTTTATGGCTTGTCAAATGCCTTTTTTTTTTTTTTTTTTTAACTTGCTTTGCTTTGTACAGAGATGTTCTGAACTTGAAAAGGTTGTGATCAGCTCTGCATGCGTCACGTAGGAAGCTTTTCAAAGAACCTCCGCCCCAGAAGAAGTCAGATTGTGTAGCCAGATCTTTGGGCCTTTATTAGGATGCCATGCGCTTTTTATATTCCTTCTCTTTAAATGCACTACAACAGGAGAAAAGAAAAGTATGGCTTTCTTCTGTTTTGGTATTTAAGAAAATATTGTTTGAAAAAGTAAACAACAAATATTTTTCTGTATGTTGCTGAGCTAGAAAGAACGTGCAGTAACCACAACAGCACAGTGAGAGAAAGGAATTTTTACAACAGAAAGGAACCGAGGCATCTGTTACAATTGTTGGGGAGAAAAAAAAAAAATCTTGGCATATGCAAACCAAATACCGGCCTAACAACTTGTACAAAGGACGGGTGCGTTGAGGATTCAGTTCGACTGCAGATTTTACTGAAGCCATGAGATCTAACAATATTCATTCTCTGAAGGAAGCACTACTGCAAACTGGAATTTCACTGGCTTTATAAATTTCACTGGAAAAAACATTTTAAAACTATGAAACACCTATTTATAATTTTAGCCTTCTTCAAGATCAAGTGAGGCAGTCTGCTCTCTGCTCTGTGGCCAAGAGTACTCTAAAGGACACTTCTAAAACGAATTGCTTCTCCTGAAGTTCCTCCCTCCTTTACCTACTCAAGAAAAAAAAAAAAAAAAAAAGAAAAAGAAAGAAAAAAACAGGTGCTATTTGTCAGCAATCTGTAAAATCTCCCTTCCAGCCGACAAATAGATTCTGCCATATTTCCTCTGAAAAATAATAATAATAGTAATAATAGTAATAATAGTAATAGTAATAATAATAATAGTAATAGTGAGAGTAATAATAATAAATTTTAGCATTAGAGCTTCCAGGAATTCTACTAGACATTAGGACATGACAAGAAGCACGGAGCTATGTACATGGATGAATACCAGACTCTAATCCATCTCAAACTGCTCCACAGCAACATTTTAAACACTTACAAAATCATTTGGGAGACCTAACAAATGTTAACTAGACACTCTGCAAAGAAAAAAACTTTTTCCTTCTTAAAATTAACTTCTCATGGATGCAAACTGTCTCCCACAAGAAGAAATTTTCTCTAGCATGGAAACATCCTCTGTAAAAATCTCAGCCAATCTTTATGTTTTTCTAACAAGTTTAATGTAGATGTTTTGCTGTTTCTAACATGGTCATTCGATGTTGTTAAAAAAAAAAAAAAAAAAGTGGGTACATTTCAGACTAGAACACAGGTATGTGATACCCCGCCCCCCCCCCCACCCAGGCAAAAATCCCACACTTGAACTACACTGTTTCTTCTCTACTCTTTTTATTCAATATCCACAATAACATAATCCCAGGCTGACTCTGTCTAGTGTGTATATGGAAATCAGAAAGCAGTAGGCATGATTCACACTTCTAAGGCTTAAATTTATATTTATATTTATATTGCTGGGAGAAGGAATGAGATAAAACCAGGACTGTCATAATAGTATGCTGGTTGGGATTTCAAGAAAAACTTGGTGGCAATAAAACATTAACAATATTTTTGAGGTTATATATATATATATCTATATATATATCTATCTGTACTTTGGTACCATGGTTCCTATCACTATTTCTAACCTTCATAACATCTGGTTTTGGCTATTTACCAGTGCCAGGGTGATTCATTAGCTTCAGTTTGGCAAGAACTTGCCAGTCTGAGTGAGTTTAAGTCATTTCTCTTTCATAATCTGTTAAGAAGTGTGGAGAAGATGAGACCCTTTTTTGCACTTCAGTAATACCTGATAGAATAATGACACACAAAAATTTTTTGTGTTGTATACAAATGTCTAGCAAGGAGGAAGAAAGGAAATATTTTCAGCATAAGCAGAGAATTTCTTAAGTTGTAAATTTTACTGAGGTATGTAGTAATACCTTTATTATGATTTCTAGTCCAACAGCAATACTCTGCCACTTCTAATGTATGATATGGCAAACACTGTCAAAATACTTTATAAGCAATAATAAATCCCCATCCTAGTGAGATTAACAGTAAAGACCCATTTCACAGATGCATAAACTGATGCTGAAAGCAACTTCCTCAATATCACGAAAAAAAAAAAATCAACAGAATCTACTCCTAAACTTTTATTCTAGAACAATTCTGTCTCTCAGAATTATTATTTCCATTAATTCTGCCTGAAATTTTTCAGTGCCGAAGTTGAACATAATATTATGGAAGACTCTAGTAAAGAATCATTGGAACTAGTAAAGTTTCATTCCACAAACAGTAATTGAGAATAGCTTTTTTTTTTTTTTTCCCAGAAATCAATGTTTTCAGTATTCATTTTCTCCATTATTTTCATGGATACATGATAACACTGTGCTTGGAAGGACAAATGAAAGGTAAAGAGTTACATGAGTGTTAAGTATCTTAGATGACACAATATGCAGTAAAATTTACAGGTATAGTGAATAACTCAATCACTTTTTTAATATCTCTGCACATTAAACTACTATTATTATGGGACTGATGCAGGGTTTCAGGCTTTTTATTCAAGTACGATACCAATTGAAAACAATAATGGCTACACTTACTGAATTTGTTTCATTTTGTAGACCACTATATGGAAAAACTAGTTTATTTAATTTTCTCTTTTATTGTCTTCAGCA